GGACGCTTAACCGACTGCGCCACCCAGGCGCCCCTCTAGCATACTTTTAAACTGAGGATTAAATGTTGCTTTATGTTACTGATATTTAAACTTCCAATGCAATTAGAGGTTAATATTGATGGAATTTGTAAAATAATGAGAAATCTTTTGATCTACCCTGGTGTTGTGTGATTCCAAGTTCAAATTTTATTTTTTTGACGTTTATTACTATCATTAATACTACTGTTTCCTACTAGTATATCTTTTTGACTTTTTAACTTACATTTTGAATTTGAAAAAATATGTAGAATATTTAAAAGATGATTTTTAATGATCATTCTACCATATTGGATTGGAGGTGTGTGTGTATGTGTGTGTGTGTGTGTATACACACACACAAATTTGCTATGGATTTGCAGGTAAGTTTACAAATAAATAGCCAACAATGTCCTGTTAAAGTATAAATTGTTTTCCTAGCCTAGGTTTTATATTTCTGCAACTTCTAATTAATTATTTGTCTTTTTATAGAAACAAAGGATGGAATATGGTCCAAGACCAACGGATACTCCCTCTGCTCCATCACCTCCTCCAACACCTGCTCCTGTTCCTGTACCCCTTCCTCCTTCTACTCCAGCACCTGTTTCTGTGCCAAAGGTCCCAGCAAATGTAACCCGTCAGAACAGCAGCTCCAGTGACAGTGGTGGTAGTATTGTGCGAGATAACCAGAAACACAAACAACTTCCGGTCGACCGTAAGTTTGCCAGGGGGGCAAAAATATACAGTTTCTTCTGTGAATTAAAAGCACTGCTAAGTAATAAAATATTGTTTATTATTAGTTCTACTGGTATTAAACATTATCCAATATAAATAGTGGTCCTTTATACTTGCATGGTACTTCACAGATTGCAAAGACTTTTCATCTAGTTTCTTGTCCTTCAGGTAGTTCTAAGAAGCATGAAGTTCTCTCTACTCTCTATTGTATACATGTCTATGCATAGTCCACTATATGTGGTGGTCGAATGCAGACTCTCTATTGTATACATGTCTATGCATATTCCACTATATTGTGGTGGTCGAATGCAGACTCTGGTGCCAGACATACTCGAGTTTGTACAGTGAAACACCACTTATGGCCGTGTGACCTTCAAGAATTTAATAATCTTCTCTATACTTGAGTATCTGAAAAGTGGGGGAGAATAATGGTGTCTGCTTCATAGGATAATTGTGAGGATTTAATGAGGTAATACATTTAAAGCATTTAGATCGGTCATTCTCACCCAGAGATGGTTATATACCCACCCCCCACGAGGGAACATTTGGTATTGTCTGGAGACATGTTTTCATCACAGTGGGGTAGAGGCTACTGGCATCTAATAGGTAGAAGCCAAGGATGTTTAGCAACATCCTACAATGAACAGATCAGTCCCCCTACAACAGAATTATCTGGTCCAAAATGTCGTGGATGCTGAGGTTGAAAAACTCTGTTTGGCCGTGACCAATATGACACACAGTAAGCAGTCAGCCAGTGCTCGCTGCTGTCATCCTCAGTGTCATAATCATGGTGTCCCGGCTCTTCTTCCACATATTTGCGACACATACACACTCACACTTGCTTGAGAGAGTCAACCTGCCAATTCCAGCTTCAAATTTGCCCTCCAATTCAGATTTCATTTGATCTAGACTTCAACTTCATATTTTCATAAATTTAAGTTTGATTTTTCACATGAATGTTTCTGTGAAAACCAGATTTTAAAAACTAAAAGAAAAGACACTATGGCAAACCTTGGATTATCCTCATTAGTGCCATTAAACAGCAGGATAGATAATTTGAGAATTGAAGGTACTTCTAAGGTAATTTTTCTTATTATTTAATCTTCATATTATGTTTGTATAAGTATTGCAAAATTACTTTGCCTTACCTATATTTGACATGTAAAATTTCCTGGAACACTAGAGCCGGGAAGATATTTCCTCAATATGATAAAAGTATATGAAGAGTATCTGTGTGTGTGCACATGCACCTGTGTGTGCATATGTATAAAGGATGTCTGTCGTTCTTTCATTGTGGCCTCTCCTAGGGCTCAGTTATGGGTTCTTCTCTCCATGTAAACATACTTTTACTGCAAATGATCAGTCCATTTCCATTTCTTTCAGTACTGCCCATATTGTTAGAGAAGGAATGACTCCCAGATTTGTCAAATCTCACCTCTGCCATCCAGATACAAGTATTGAACTGTTAACTTTAAAGCTGAGATTCGATGATTAGATTCAAAGTCAAATGACTGGATCCTTCACTCCAATTTTCACCCTACATTTTTCTTATTTCAGTAAATCAGAGCCACATCTAGTCAGTTGTGGTCATTCTTGATAAATTTTTTTTAAAAATTTAAAAGAAGACACTTATGTTACTGTTTAGTCCTAGAAATCCTGGCTAAATGCCATAAGCATTAGCCTACTTTTATACATTACTTTCTTTCCCAAAGTAAAGTTTGATCCATCACCTTCTTATCCATATCCCGACCTTACCAAAAGACGAACAGAAAAGTGACGTTTCAGAGAAATGGTGAACTGTGCTGCAAAAACTGTGTGTGTACGAGAACATGTCAGTGTATATAAGCATAATATGCTGCTGAAGTTTTTTGAATGTTTGTGTATTCTTTTAAAAGATGCTTTTACTTTTTTTCAAAGACACTTAAAGACGTAGTTTTGAGATGAGAAAGTTCTATAAATATGTTTATTGATTTCCCTAAGGAAAATTTTTCTCCTAGAAATGAACATTGTTTTTTCATTTTTACCACAAGTTTATAACCCGTCCCTTCTTTGCTACGTCAGCATAGTGATCTTTGACACTGTGGACTGTAGTTAGTCTTTCTAGGCCTAGGTCAGACTCCATAGGCATCTAGCCCCCATTTGGAACAGTCTGTGGGTTGGGACAGTTTGTTCTTTGTCCTAGTCTAAGAAACTAAGAATAACCTAATGGGAAAGAGGCATAGTTTGAATACTTTCAAGATAGACAACTCTCCTGATAATTGTGACTCATCACTTTCAAATCTGTTTTTCATAAGTAAAAGGGTGACATTGGCATATAAAGTATAAACCTTTCTTCCAAAATTAACATTTGTATGTTTTTCTTTACAATAATAAAACTTTCCATGTATTTACACAAAGTTCTCTTTAAAGATATCTCACTCAGAAGCATAGTTTCATATTAAATAAATGTATTTCTTTTTCTAAACGAATTATTTTCGTGAAAGCTTTCTCCTGAGCACGCTTTTGGAGAACGGTTTTTCTGAATGAATGTTGGGGCTTCTCAAAAGTCTTTTAGATCCAGACAGACATACCAAAATGTGTATTTGTCGATAGCCAGGTTTCTCTCAAACTAAACCTTTTATGCTTTCCTACATTCTCTGCTTACTGCTTAGCCTTGTGATTAAAATGGAAGGAACTGGAAAGTGAATACCCAACTCAAAAAAAAAGTTACCAAGTAGCCATAAACAAGGAAAAAAGCATGCCTGTTTTTATAAAATTTTTTTTAAACGTTTATTTTATTTTTGAGACAGAGCATGAACAGGGGAGGGTCAGAGAGAGAGGGAGGCACAGAATCAGAAGCAGGCCCCAGGCTCTGAGCTGTCAGCACAGAGCCCGATGCAGGGCTCGAACTCACGGACTGCAAGATCATGACCTGAGCCGAAGTCGGCCGCTTAACCAACTGAGCCCCAGCATGCCTGTTTTTAAAATTTAGCAGGTAGCAGGAGTGAGACAGAATGACACTTCTTTTGCTGAAGGTAACTATGGTTGCCTATTCAAACTGGCTGTTGGGAGCCATGTGTCATAGAAGCTATTCAAATTGGTTTATCGCAGGATTTAAAAAGGTTCTCCTCTTATCACTTTTGAAGAAACCAATGCTTTAGTTATTTTGCATTTATTCCACTTCCTTTGAAATGTTAGTCCTTTTATTTGGGTTTAATCTTTTGTAATCAGAAGTGTTATTTCAGAACGAGGTGTAGAGTTAGTCTGGTTTGTTATTGTGTGCTAGAACGTTGCAAATGGAAACCAAAAGTCAGGAGCACAGCAGAAGTTTTTGTACTCCATGGAAGGTTATGCTGTGGACCAGAAATGTTCATGCAGTGGCTAAGTTAGTAGATAAGAAAACAAGTCTTTTAGTGTGGTGACGCTTTTTCTCTCTGATTTCTTTGAGATGTACTCGTATTCTGTGTGGCAGTATGATGCAGTGAGTTAAAAGAGTTATCTAGTGAAACGCATGTAGTGTATTACTTAAATGATCAGTCAGTAATATTCCCTCTCACCCTCCCTAGCCCCCTCTTCTTTCTCCCTCTCTCCCTTCATTTCTCCTCTTTCTGTCTTTTGCCTTCTTCAGAAGGTTCCCAGAATGCCTAAGGCATTAAAAAATTCGACTGAAATAACACTTTTTGGTTATTTCATATTTTCATTTACTTCTCAAGGACTTGAACACTTTCTGCAACATTCTCCCTGGGGGTGAAAAAAAAGAAGAGAAAAGGAAGAGAAAAAAGACAAAAAAGATCATAGAACAGTGGTCACAAAAATCTCCTTTAAAAGAGGCCAGGTCATTGCCTGTTGCCAAGGTAATCAGTTAACTGGATTACTGTATCAGTTTTTGTATTTAATCCTTGAAGGTAACATACAAATAATGTATCTATATATATATATATGTGTGTGTGTATGTACATATATATTTAATATGTCTATTATATATGTAATATATATAATCTGTAATGTTTTAAAATACACAAATACATTATTCCCTTTCCTATACCTTCATTTCTTCCCCATTTTTCTCATAAACATATGTGCATATACACATATTTCCCATAAGCATAAAATGGGTGGGGGAGAGGGATAACATGTAACCTAATCAAAGGTAGATTCAATGACTTTGATCATAAAGCAACCGTGAGCTGAAAGTCAGGAAATCCAGTTCTAACTAAATTCTGCTAATTAACAACAGTGTGATCTTGATGCATCATCTCTCCTCTTTTGACCTCCGTTCTCTTAGCTATTAATTTAGGAGTTTGTATATGATGCCTTTCAAAGTCTCACTTAGTGAAAAAGTCAGCAGAATGCCTCAGTCATTCATTTACTCAGTGAGCATTCGCTGAATATTTAACTGCTCCAGCTGTTGCAGGCAAACATCCCTTTTCTCTTCAGGCATGTATTTTGACAACAAGAGATGGCTACCTAAGTGATTGAGTTAATGAGGAATATTAGAAGGGGGTAAGTGGTTTTGGAGAATAATAAAGCCATGTGGATGGGAAGTGGTGTTGGGAAGGGGGTTGCAATTTTAAATAGGAGAAATCTAAAGGAGGGGAAAGAATAAACTGAGTGGATTCTGGGGGAAAAGCATTCCAGGCAGAGGCCCTTAAACTTCAAGAGCGTCAAGGAACCCAGCGTGAGTGAGAGCAGAGGGCTCCAGGGGACAGTGGAGTTACCTCAGGAGGTGGTTCTCTGAGGCCTTTCACTGGGAGTAGTTTGTATTACTTGGAAAGGTTTGGAGCAGAAGACTTGCAATATCTGACTTATATTTTAAAAAGGCCATTTTAACTGTTGTATTGAAAACCGAATGAAGGAGCACAGGGTGCCATGGTAGAGAATAGAAGGGAGGCCATACATAGGCCTGTGGCTCAGACCAAGCTGGTCACAGAAAAAAATGGAGCAAAGCAGTTGGATTTTTCGTATATTTTGATGATAGGACTAACAGAATTTGATGATGGATTGAATGTAATAGAAGACAAAGGGGAGTCGAGCATGACTCTGTGGCATTTTGCCAGAGGAACTGAAAAAATAGAATTCCCGTGAATTGAGCTGAGAAGTGTAGCATAAAAGCAAGCTTCAGGAAGAAGAGAAGCCTTTCAGATTTGGACATGTTATATTTGAGCTACCTAATAGATACCCAAATGAATATATCAAGAAGATGGCTGGCATATATGGCTTCAGAGTTCTGACTGGAGAAGTAATTTTGGTAGTCATCAGCTTTTAAAGGGCACATGGCTCATTGATGGAGTGAGGGCAGGCAGAGGAGAGGTCCAAGCATTGTGCCTCAACATTGCTTACTGGGGAGATGAGAAGAATCAGAATAGGATACTGAGAAGGAGAGGCCAGCGAGACAGGAGGAAAATCAGGTGAGTGTGGTGTCCTGGAGGCCACAGAAAGAAGGCATTTTAAGGAGTGAGCACCTTCTTCATATGTTGCTGGTAGGTTACGTGAGACAGTGACTGGGAATTGACCGTAGGAGTTTAGCAAAATGTAGTGGAGGGATGGGGCCAGAAGTCTTATTTTTTAACAGTGAGTTCAAGAGAAAATTGGAGAACAAGAATAGGAGTCAGCTAGTACACACAGCTTTTCATGGAATTTGTGAAAAGGGGAGCAGAGAAATGGGCAATAGCTAGGAGGCACATGGGGTCAAGAAAGGGTTTATTTAAAGGCAAGAGGAACAATCACAAAATGATAGTGTTTGTATGCTGATGAAATGATCCAATAAAGAGGAAAATGGAGAACCTAGGATAAGTAGAGGAGAAATTAAATAGGCAGAGGAGAGGCGCCTGGGTGGCTCAATCGTTTAAGCTTGTGACTTCAGCTCAGGCTCAGGTCATGATCTCACGGCTCGTGAGTTCAAGCCCTGCAT